GAGGTGGTGTTTTATCCCATTTCCAGAGGCCCTCTCTAGCCAGTGGCTGGAAAACATGCCCCGTGCAAGATTGTTAAGACACCACAGACGGTTTTGATCACTAGTTTCCCCAAAATTGTCCAAGAGTATACTGTGATGGAAAGGACAGTTTACAGCTAAATAAATTAGTCACAAGTGGTTTTTTTAGTTGGACTAAACTTGAGTCCCATTTCATGTATAAATAAACAAAAAAATGCTTGTAAGCATTCATGCTTTCCTACTCAAACAGTCCTCAACCATTTCCACTATGTAGAAACTTGTGCTTTTTTCCCCCAGCTCTCTCACGTGGCAAGCCGCCTCAGAGAGAGAGTTCTGTACAGCCCCCCCCCCCCCATTTTACAGTTGTCAGCATTTGTTTCCTTAAAGCACACCGAGGGCTTGCAGTCTGTGAAATGGTATTGGAAATGCTTCACAAAGGTGACACTTATTCTGTCGCTTGTTTCCTTAAGACAGTGATTCTGAATCCCTTGAGTTTTCTGCTGTAAACATTCAAGCGTGGAGCTCTTTGGGAACGAGGTTATGTTTAAGTACGTAGCACGTGGTCCTGCCGTGCTGGTAACGTGCAGGATACGGAGGTGAACAAATTGTAAAGTGAGCAAAACTCGAGTGTTGGAGGAGCTGGCAAATCTTATTCCAAACACTCGGAGATGGTGCTTGATGAACTGCATTGCCTAATCAGTGAAATCACAGCCCCCGGGGCAGCTAAAGGATTTTGCAATATGTCTTTTTATGTTATGTGTAACAAGTTGTGCAACTTTTCAATCCACTGCCAAAATAGTAGAGTTTAAAGACATTGCTTTTTCCTTCTTTTTAAGGCAGGCAGCATAGCCATAAGCCCCGAAGAATTGCACTGCTCCAGTTAAAAATCTTTCAGATTTCTTACTGTACAGCTCCCTGAGTGCGATGCCTCACTCTGAGCAGAACCATCTATAGGTGGTCAGCTAGGAGCGAGGTTTTGTTACACGTTTTAAGTGCTTTTGGAGTCTTCTCGCTAAATGGGTGAAAAGGGCGACAAGTCATTGAGTCAGATGCAGTCAGGATTCCAGAAGCACCACCTGATTAGAGGCAGTCTGTGTGTTAATTGTTAGCTAATTTTAGCACAGAGCTCCAAAGCTAATACATTTGTAAAGTTATTTTGGAGTTGCAGAAAATAAATAAATTGGTTGTTCTTTGAGCGGGGGTGCACAGCAAGAATGTCCTAGCTAGGAGATGCCAGGTATGTTCTACAAAGTAGCCTTTCCAGTTACTTGGTAATTTGTTTGCTTTAAACAGTGCATTTCCTAAAAATGTTGGTTTATCTGAAACTTTATCAGTTACTGCAATCAGTCTAGATTTTGCCGTACGCACAGCTCCTTTACTTACTCTGGACTTTTATAGGAAACTTCCAGAGAAAGCCGATCAGTTCTACAATTTTAAATGCCTTTTCCTGTGTAAGCCATCTTCCAGCCTAATTTTCACCCGTTTCTGTAATAGGTATGGGCGCTACAAGTGTGAAAAAGGAACCACTGCTGTGCTCACAGAAAATGTAGCACTCCTGGAAATTGAGGTGGTGGATGAAACCATCCAAACCATGGACACGTCCTGAACCATCACGCGCAGCCCTTCAGCGTCGCGGGAGACCGGCACGGCTCACGTGGAGGAGCCCTCCAGCCGCGAGAGAAACACGCAGCAGCTACAGAATAAAGAGGGTTCTGACCATTCCTAGTGGTGTTATGTGGTGCTGATTGCTGCTGCTGCTTTTCCCTTGCTAAGCTGGTGAAAAGGTGAGGCTGGTGGTGGGGCTGGGGAGGGGAGCTGGGCTTTACCCCACGAGGTCGGTGTTAGCACATGCTGGAGAGCCCGGCTCCCGCGGCAGAGCACCAACATCACCCGCAGAAAAACCCCAAAGTCCAACAGCTGCTTTGTTACTTCACTCTACAAACAGAACAGCAAGGGTGAGACTAGGCTGTGTAAGCCCAGTCTGCCAAGTTGCAATTTAACATAGTGTTCCTTTCTTCATGGACACATTTCCCATCAAGAAATTATATGAAAACAGTGAGCGTGGGTGGTTCTGAGCTGCTGGCCCTGACCTCCAGCAGGCTGCCGCTACCTGGGGCACTGCAGGGAAGGAGTACGGGCTACCGGGGGGTGTGGTAATTCTTGCCTGTCCTCTGGAGGCAGAGACAGGAGAGGGGGTAGACCCACGCTCCAGCCTGGCACATTCCTTTTCATTTCTGAATTACATGACTGAAGGCAGCACAACTCGAAGTCAGTCTTGGCACTTGCCTCCGCTTGGGCCGTTTTTGTTCTAAAATCCTGAGCTTGTACTATTTGAGATAAAGTGATTTCAGACGGTTTCATACAGTACCACATGATCCTGGGGGGAAAAAAAAAAAAGCCCTAGCAGAAAATGCACCTGCAGAATTATTTTCTCATTTAGTTAAAAGGGAAGACATATCATCCAGAGTCAGCTTCAAAAGGTTAACTGACACCAGGCCCTAGTCTTCACATCCTGCAACAAACAGCCGGGAAGAACAGCGCTAGCGGCCCCACAGGTGAGAGGGCAAAGACGCTCATGCATAGTTTGCCATCGGGACAAGTGCTGCAGTTTATGTAGTTCAGTTGTCCGGTTCCTGGAACACAGAGCGGCTGTTAGGAACAATTTCACACACATCTAGCTCCGTTTTCACTAGCTGGTTTTTGTTTTTAATTTTCCTTAATACTGGACTCTTTTTTTTTTTTTTTTTTAACAAAGGTTTTTATTTTGTAAATAATTTTTTTTTATTTATCTAAAAATGCACAATTGCAAAAAAAAAATTACCTTTTGAAATACATTTACTTATAAGCACTAATAAATTTGATGTAGCAGGAAAGTGGCTTCTCGAGCTCCTCGGACTGAAGCTGAGCCTCCCTGGAAGCCGGAGCTCCTGTTCCATGTTACACCGAGAGGCGCAGCACAGCCGTCCCTCCGCCTGTGCAGCTGCCGCCGCGGCTTAAAGGAAAGCTGCAGTGTAAAAGTGACAGTCTTCAGTCTTAACTCTAAGAATTGCTAAAGAAGCTGGGTATAAATTAAACAAGTTAGCATAGGAATGTTGGAAGCAATTTGGTGCCTCCACTGCATTCTCATGCTGATTTGAATTTCCTGAATCTCTCATGAGAGCAGCAGGCTCAACTTTCTGCTGAGAAGACTCAATAAAATGGCACCTTGCATTAATGATACCAACATTATTCACAGCAATTAATAGCTTTTCTTTGCTACCCTATATAAATATTTTGAAATATGACGGGAAGTAGTTGAAGATGGCACTGCAGTTTTCCTTTTAAGTAGAGGAAATTAGGTTAAAAAAAAAATCCACTAAAAGCATATATATGTACGTAACCCTCTAACCCTAATCTTATTTCCCCAAAAAATTAAGGATTCTATGCTTTTCTTAAGGAAAAAAAAAAAAAACACAAAAAAACAGGCACAGGCTGCGTTTGAACTGTCACACAGAAATCTACATTTTGGCATTAGCCACCGTCACACGTGGAAGCAGCGCTGAAACAGGACAGGCGCATCTCTTTCCCCCGCTGTCGTCCTCCAGAGCGTTAAGTGCAGCCCTGCTCCTCTGAACAGGCAAATGAAATGGAAACACTTGAACGTGAATCCACGTTTGTTCCTAAGGCAGTGAATATTTTTCATCGACAGTAACGAAACAAATCATTGATTCAATGAATGAATTTAGTTGGTTGAAAATTTTCATGTAGTTAAAGAAGATGACTCCTTCAAATCAGGTTGCAATTTTATAAAAATTCACATTCTGTAAATTAGCTTTCACAGTTAAATAGACAGGGGCTGATCCTCATGTAGAATTCGATACACAAAGCATTTTACTTATTTCTTTTTCAACAAGCGTTTTACTTATTTCTTTTTCAAAAATTTCCGAAGTGTTTAAAACACTGCTTTGCTTATGTTTTACCCATAGTACCTAACGTACTACTGAACATGTAAAAGTATCTTCACCAAAATCTAGTTGGCTTAGATAAATACTGGTTTTTAACAAGAACCTATAGTCTAAAAAGAATCATGGGAAAATAAGTTTGAAGAGAAATTATTTGCAGAAGCAATGCTTGATTTGGGCTTGTTTGGCACGTTTTTCCCCAGGTACATGCTTAATTCATCTCACTGGCCTTAGCCAAGTTAACAGATAAATGCATCAGCAAAATACTCACTCTTAATTTTCAATTAAAAAAAAAAAAAAAAAAAAGAAATCTTGAAAACAAATATGTTTCCCACCCCACAACCCTTCCCAGTTCCTAAGTCTGAAGAGGAGGGAATTAATAAAAACACATAAATGGCTGCTTTAAAATATACGAAGTAAAAACTGAATTTGCTATTAACCATTTGCAGAAGAGGCAAAGTAGCAGTTACACAAATTACACAAAATCTACTGCAATTCTTACATTAGTATAAAGTGATTTCACTGAAGGAATTATTTCAATATTTCACATTACAGTTAAGATAGGAGGGGTGTGCCAAATGCTCCAACACCCTCCTTAGTATCAGCTATCCTAGATTACACACGATAGTTTTAAGAAAGGACCCTTAAATGATCTACATCTGTAACATGTTATTGGCCTTAAAAAAAAAAAAAAAAAAAAAAAAAAAAAAAATCACTTGCACTACCTCACAGAATCTTCACTTTAAAGCATGACCACCTTGTAAGAGTCCTTGTCAAATAACCTGCAGAAATAATGGAGCATCTTGCTACGAGTGCTCAACCCTCTCACTTGTGTGACTAGGCACCAGTCGGTTTCATCTGAGAAAAAAAAAATTCAAGTAAGACTGAGCTGTGCTGGCTTCTTGAGAGCGTCTGCAGATGGTTCATGTGCTGGAGGTCCAAACATGCATTTGTTTTGCTATTTGGTGCACGTAACCAATGTCAGGTCTTTGATCTGGATCAGGGTATATGCACATGCTGACCAGCTCCCGCAGCTGAAAGACAGGAAAACAGGCACATGGATGTGAAGGAACCCGCTGCCTGGAAAAGGCCACGGGAGTGTTTGTCCCACCCCGGGTGGGAGCCCGGAGCTCCGCTTACGCAGATGTTCCTGGGCAGACTGCAGACACACGTCTGTCCGTTCCGTCCCGCGTCCCCCACCCTGCACAAGGACCAGGAAGAACCTTTTCCACCAAACCTTCAGCACCAAAGATTGAAATCTTCCCCACGACCCCGAGTGGATTTTACATTGTCACCTGCACTGCTGCCAGCACAGCGGTACCTGAGCCTCCCTGCTCAGTGCTGTAACGTGGCTCTGGAGTCCAACCACCACCTCTGACCTGCTACCCCTGATACTGGGAGTTTCAAAGCTTTTTTTTTTTTTTTTTTTTAAAAAAAAGAAAAAAACCAACTTTTTTCTGGGGGATTTTTAATTCACTTCAGAGAACCAGAGCAGAGATGACCAGTATCATCAGACAAGCAGCAGGTCGAGGTCCCAGGATTCTGCAGCACGAGATGGCAGCAGGTCGGAGAGCGGGGAAGGGAGCCCGGCACGGGCACCAGCGACACGAGCAGGATGTGGATGAAGGAAGTTAAAAATCACAACCAGAAATCTGACTGAGCTGACGGGCAGGGGTGGACTTGCCAGTGGAAGCAGACTTGGGAAAGGGGGAAGTAGAAGGAAGGGTTTAAAAACATGTCCTGAACAGAGCTCTCCCGCACAACAACTGCACTTCCCACACCAAACCAACCCCTTGTACCAAGCCAGCTCAAGCATTTCAGTGTCAGGACTCTGAACAGAACTTGTGTATCTTAAGACACCAGAGCACAGCTGTCAAACACCAGTGTTTCCTCAAAACCTCTGTGAAGAAGAGAGACTGGTCATTGATTATGTTTAATAAATAAAATGCAGAAAGGCTGAAGTCTCCCCACCTCCCAACCCTCTTTATTGTGCACATGAAAGATTGTAGCTTTTAATTATACAGACACTGAAAGCTGCTCGTACCCCCGAGGCACCGGGAGAAACAGCCTTGAGCCTCTGATCTTCTCACATCCTCCCAGTAGCCGCAGTGCCAATTATTTTAATGGTAATTAAAAGCATGACCATACAGCTATCAAGCACACGGCTCCAGCTGCATTACCGAACATCCTCGAGTGAGGGGTTCGGCTCCGCGCGGCCCGAGGCTCCCTGCTTCGGCGGGGGTTCCTGCCAGCCGAGCGGGATGGCGGCAGGGCCCCGGCCGAGCACGGCTGCTACCCCCCTCGCCTGGCATTTCGTGTGTACACAGCGAGCACAACACAGCCCCCCAGCCAGGCTACCCCCAGAGGAAACCCAACTCCACTGCCTGGCCCTGGCTCATTCTCTCCTAACTGCTACGGTGCATTTTTTTTTGCTTCATCTGAGGGCAGGGGGGTGCTGCCTTTGTAACCCCGAGACCCCAAAGATTTAACACGTACCTCAGCCTTGACCAGACAAGATCACCACAAAACACCCACAAAGCAAATTAAAATGCTTCTAAAGCTTGGACCAGAGCCTGTGCTATCAGTACAATTCGTCCAAGCAGTAGCTGTGCTCCCATGTAAATCCAGCACGTAACCGCAGCCGGGAGGTTTGTCCACTGTCGATGACCAGGACAGCGCAGGCATTTCACCATCATCTCCAAGGAACTGGCAGACCAGGCCTTGATAAGCACCACCAACCAGTATTTCCAATTACTAGCAAATTTGTTCCTGATACAGAAAACTAATCCTGGCTGGAGTCCCAGCTCCTCCTCCTGCTACAAACAGCACACCAGTTGATCCCGGGAGGATTTGGACCGGTTAGCCACAAAAGGCTACAGAGAAGAACAACATCACTGAAAGGAAACACCATTAAAGCACACATTCTGCAGTAAGTGCTCTGCCTTGTTCATCTAAAACAACGCTGCAACTAAAATATTCATGTGATCAGCAGTCAGCCTACAGCTGGAGCTTCGCTTCGAGGCCACGTTACCGAGGTGAAGGGAAGACACCGACGGCTCTGGAGCATCACGGAAAACGCCAGGAGTGTGACGCGGCCTAATCCTCGCCCCTGGCTTTGGGTGGGAGGAGGTAGAGGCTTTACTGCTTTCCCACATCACTCACAGATCCGTAGCAGTGACAGTATCAGAGTGGTTGTAAAGACCCTGCCCTTTCAACCTGAATGTGTACGTCCAGACCAGGGTAACCACCCACCCACCGGCCCCAGGAAGATCCAATTCTTGCTGGTGCAACTTGCTGCTGCAGACATCTGCCCTCTACACTTCCCATCTCGCCTGCCTGCATGGTTTATCTGGCTTGGCTGCTGGGAGACATCGACACACCTTTCCCTTTGGCTATCCACTCCAAAAGCATCTGAAAATCCAATCTTTACGTACTAAACCTAATATTGTTCATGGCGGTGTCATGTTTTAATATTCACAAAATTGAAGCTTTGTGCAGTTCCCGTAAGAAGCAGGAGCTAACGCAGCGAGATGAGCTACAGCCAAAGGCACAGCCCTCCTCAGACTTTGTCAAGCATTCTGTTAATAGTGTATGAACACCATCTGGAGTCTAGTTCTCTGGGACCTGGCGCCTTTGAGCTTTAAACCATCCTTCTCACCCTGGATTGTATCACCACGCTACACACACTCTTTAGCACTGCCAGAGGGAAGCAAACAGACAGTAATTGTAAAGACAGGAAACACATCTGTCAACTTACACTAATTCTTGCTGCCAGCAGGCATATCCTGAAATGCATGCTACAACAGCATGGCAAATGTGAATGCACAGAGCCGGGACTCGCTGCTACGGCAGCTTGGGGGGGAAAAAAAAAAAAAAAAAAACAACACAACTTAAAAATTCACTTTTCTAGAAGAGTTCTCAAGTAATCTTTTTGCATGAGTTACTTAGCAGGTAAAATACCAAGTAAAATGTAAAATGTCTGGTGCAGGGTCCCTCTCAGGGTAGAGACCAGACTGTCTCCTGCCAGCCACGTACGGTATTTCCCTCGCATCCTGCCTCTTGCTCCTCAGAACTCTGAGGTAGAACAAAACAAAAGAAAACCCCCGAAGGATATGGCAAATGTTTAAAATTACATTAGCCATTTCCTTTCAAATAGAAGGCAACTGTAACTGAGTGAGGAGGTAAGGAAAACCAGCTGGTTTGTCTAGGTAAGGGAAAAAAAATTAAAAAAACCCAACACATCTTTGCAGCTGAAGTGAAACGTGGCCGAGCAGGCACGCACAGAATATTCTCCGGTTCAGCTGCTGCTCCCCATCCCTCGCTTTCAGATGCACCAAACGCAGGCTTTAAAAAGCCCCTGTACAGCTCCTGTGTAGATGCTTATTGCATTAAACTAAATAGGTTTCCTCTCTTTTTTTCTTAAAAAGAATATTTTCCCCCTTGTTACATGCTGAAGACTTCATAAACAAAAATGTAAGCGCTGCTTGATGGTATGTTATTTTAAGGGAAAGGAAGCGAAGGAGAGGGCTTTCCCACGGTTCGTTGGTGGTTTCTGCCAGCATCACAGACTTTCAGTTTCAAAATATTCCCCACGTTAAGAAATCTTTTCTTCTGTCTTAATTTAGCTCGTCAATATTCACGCATCACAACAACAGTTTCCTTAGCCAGCCCTAAAGGTACCCAGGACGCTCGGGCCATCTCCTGTTCCGCCCTGGATGGGAGGGGGCTTCTCCTCCCGGGTTCTGTTTTCCCTGTGTGGGAGGAACTTCCCTGCATCCCCCACCACATTCCCCTTAAAAATGCTCCCAATTTACCTTTTCAGAATAATGTTCAGCTGGAAGAGGTGGGTAGTCACATTGCTCTATTTTTTGGCAAAGAGAAAACAGGTTCATTTTATCTCCATAGAAAGGACTCTGAAGAGCTGCCATCTGGAGAGAAAAAACAGAAAATAGATCAGAAATGCCGAGGATCTAATAGCCCTCAGTGCTGCAGATTTGCAAGGGCAAATTTTGTTCCCTGACAGCGAGCAAGCGACGATGTTGCTCCCTGAGACTGTCCCCAGCCCAAGCCGCTCCGGGCACGGCCGCAGCGGCGCGGAGCTGCCGCCCGCAGCGCCCTGGCCCCCGGGACACGCGGCCACTGGGGCAGCCGGGGCCCTGCTCCCCCCCCGGCCCCCGGGGCCCTGCTCCCCCCCGGCCCCCGGGGCCCTGCTCCCCCCCGGCCCCCGGGGCCCTGCTCCCCCCTGGCCCCCCAGCAGCGCCGAGCCTGGGCACGCCTCCGCCTTTCCTTGTCGCTGGGATTCTTGCTGCCCAAAACTTCACGGGTGTGTGGTGCTGGGGGTATACAGGCAATTCTACAGGTACACAGAAAAAAGTACCTTTTTTTTAATAAAAACCAGGCTGCTTGGACTGTAGGGCAATCAGTTAAAAACCAACTGGCTCAAAGATGACTATGAAAACCTCTCAAATACAAACGTCTCTCTAAAAAGTAGCAGAAGTAGCAGCTCTTCTGTCTTTGATCACGTGTCGTGGTTTCAATCTTCCTCGGTTACAACTATATTCAGTTCATTTGCTCTCTGTGACTGGTAGACTTTTAATAGACTGCTACAAAGAACAAGTGGATCATTTCTGGACATTGAGCTACCTAGAGTACAAAGAATCTTATAAGCATGAGCAATGTACTTCAGCCTTTTAATAAAAAAAACCAAACACACACCCAACCAAAAATGACCTTAAAACAAACATCCCCTCCTGACAGGAATCTGCTACTTAGAAAAGAGCATCCCAGGCAGATTTGGGAACCAAACTAGTAAAACTTTTCCTAATCAATCCGGTCTTTTTCCTCTTTCAATTTTGTTTTAGAAATCCAGTATTCGCATCTCCATATGACAGATGTCTGAGATAAACAGGCTGTTCACTCCGCACGGGGAGCCCGACGGAAGGCTCGGGGGGGGGGGGGGGGCAGGATTCCCTCCAGGGCATGTGGAGAGTCCTTACAAAGACACATTTATACTCTGCTTAAGCCTCAGGAAGGAAACTGCAACTTTGTGCGTGGAAAACCCTTTGCACTGCAAGTTCTCAACCAGGAGGTCTCAGCGAACACCGAACGATGAGCCTCAGAAAATCAGCCGCAGCAGCCCGGGCGTTTTTGAACTGGGTGCAGGTGCTGACGTGGCGCCTGTGGAAGCCACGCACGGCGAGCCGAGCGCCTCCCTCCCGCTCGCCCACGCCGGGCCCCGGCCCCGCAGACCCACCCGCCGTTACCGTGGGGTTTGCCAGAGGCAGCCCGGCCATACCTCCTCCTACCGAAGCACCACTGGATAATTGTGGATATTATCCACTGTTTAGATCTTTTTAAAGCATTTTGCTACAAGCTGCATCAAGTTGGCAAGCTTTTCATACTGAGGCCAGCTGAAGTCGAGGCTTCTCACTACGGCTTTAATAGGGGGTTACTTGATGATGATGATTAGTCTTTTGCTCATTACCATGCGCTGTGAAAGCCATCTGAAGAATGCTGTCTTGCTGACACACACAGCAAGCTCCCAGCAGAATTTTAAAAAGTCAATACTAGATCCTCCACTCTATTATCATGCAGTTTAGAAATCAAGATTGATAGATTATTAGTGATTCGGTGACCGACAAGCAGTTTTGATTAGGGCAGGGCTCTGAAATGCTGCCTTTGAGCTGGATTTCCAGCAGTGGGACAGGGGCCGGCGCGGAGGCACTCGAGCTGCCCCCTGGGGCGTCCCTCCGAAACCTCACCGGCATTAACACCTGTCCAGGTGTTAGGCAATGCAGGACACATCAAGCTAAACTATCCTTGGTTTAAATCATAAACCTATCCTTTAAATAATTTAAAATTACTCTGCTTCTTTCTTGCTTACTTGCAAGACATATTGGTTACTCTGTGAAATTAGTGAAAATACCTCAGCTGCAGGGGTCACCTTGAGCAAGACAACCATGCAGAGGTAAGAGACCTTCTGCAAGGAGTTCTGAGCCATTATGAGCAGTAGTAGGATATATCCTGGCCAAATCTCCAAGATTAGCTCCTTATGTACCATCAGACTACAATATTTGTCAGGAAGCTCTTCCAGAGGTATTTATCTGATATCCAGAGAGGCTTATAATTAGCAATACAGAATACACAAAGGCACTCAAGCTACATTGAAGGACACGGCGAACTGAGTACATGTCTCCCAGAAACACCTCAGAAAACTCCAGGCTTGTTCAGTTTTCTGTCTGGAAAAGCTTCATGTAACGTAGGTTGAGATATCTGCTGTGCTAGTGACATTTACTGTGCCTTGCTGCAGGCTGGGAGAGGAGGAATTGCACCTTTAACAGCTGCACAGAACAGGCTGGGGAACGGGCACACTTTTCCCTCTCTGATCCCACCACCATTTTCAGCAGCATTGCCGGGCTATTCCTCATAACCCCACAGAGCTGAGGTTGAAGAGTCACCCGACAGGCTTGTGAATGGAGCCCCAACGGCCGGGCGAGAGCCCCGACAGCCCCGTGCTCATGGCCTTTTGGAAGTTTTTGAAGGCAAAAGGTGAAATTGTATTGCCGTTACTTTGTTACTGTCATAACACTAACAGGAAAATCAGGGGGGAAAAGATTAAGACTCCAATTAGAGACTCTAATCTCCAATTAGAGATTGATAGCAAATTGTTCTCAATCAGTTAAAACAAAACTGGAGAGCCTAGCACACGAGATTGGTCCAAGAAAAACACTAATGGGCACATCAGGGAAGGCACAGAAGGCAATCAAGGGTTAAACAAGGTCTCCAAGATTTCAATACAAACATCAATAATGTCAGTAAGGTTGAAAGGGATTTTTCAATTCCCATTAACTTTTCTTTCTAAGTCTAGTTAAGCAGTCATGTGCAAAGGAGGAGGAACGAAAAGGAAACACCGTGGGGTTTTGGGGTGGTAAATGCAGGAAATTGAAACAAGCAAGAGATGGCACACACGTCCCGACTCAACCAGTCAGGTCTGCAGGGGCTGTGACCACAGGCGCTCCAAATACCGCACTAACAACAGTTTGTGATGCTGCGTTGGGGTTTGCTCCTGACATTTTGATTAGAGCAATTACCACAGGACAGCTAGATCTCCATTTAAAATGACCACCATGTAGTATGACTGGTTAAAAAATATATATCTAGGAATGACTGTTAGTGCTTAAATTGATCGTCTTGCCAGAACTGCTGAAGTCATTGCTTGTAGCTATATTCTGGGAATTAACAACTTATTTTTATCCCCTCCAAGTTATCTTGCTGACAGATATCTACAGGAAGTGAGGGATTAAGACAGTTACTACTATATTGATAAGATTTAATAAAAATCACTGTATGATTATCAATGTCAAAGTTAAGTGGTGCTACGTGGCATCACATCCCAAACCCCTCAACGTGCCCTAAGTGGATTCCAGTGGACACGCGTGTCTCTGAAGGCGATTTGTACATTAAATCTCTCTGCAGCTTATCTACACAATCTATCTGGAGAAATATCAGAAGTGACTCATAACCAAACAAACATTGCTTCCTTACTTTTAAGCCAAATGGAAAAGCACTCTCATTACAAGAAATTAGTGAAGATAAAATACAGCTCCCTCAAAGACATATGAATTTGGTTTTTAATTTTCCAAATTCTAGAAAGTTTGAAAAGTCAAGTAGCTGTTTATCTGCTGAACACAAAATTGGTAACTGTCCAGCTCCCCTTGGAATTCGCAAGATCTCACAGCTCCTGTTCACAAAGTTAAGGCTTACCTACGTAGGAAGTAAATTTAAAAACGCTTCACATGCCAAATCGTTCACATGTTACTATAGTACTGCTACTCCTACCAGAGAATTATGTTTAGTGCGCAATTAAGTCAGCTTCTTGCAATATAAGGAGTACCAAGACTACTGTGCCATAAGGGGACCATATTGCCTGCAACAAAAACATTATCTTAGCACAACGCTAAATATTTCTCTCTGCATAAATCTGGAATCCCATCTCCAGCAGCGCTCAGCCTCAGCAGTGACTCCGAGCAGCCTGACGGAGAGGCTGCACGCTACGGCAGCGGGCGAGTAGCCGTGTCCAGCTTGGGCGACCGCTCCCGAGAGCCATGGCAAGCCCGGCGCACCGCGGCAGGGCCAACGTCCTCGGCCCCGCGGCGCCGCCGGGCGAGCGCCCCCTTCCTGCCCAACACCCGGAGCAGACCTGGAACTGTTCAGCGTAACGAACGGCTGGGCGCTCAGGCTTCCTTCCCCCTTTTCCCACAGAAGACTCTCCAAATTCCTTTTCAAACGCCACCAGCAGACCCAGGTACACACGGCTGTGCTGTACCAACCCAGTTTTCAGTACCTCACTAGAATCACTACAAGCAAAACCATCCTTCCTAAGGAAATAGCAGCTTTTTAATGGTATGTTGCTGCTGCTTCGGGAATCGTTAAGTCTCCTGAATTCTCTCACTGGAGGTAACAAGAATTTGAGAACAGGCACAAAGCCGCTCAATTTAAGCTCACCGTTTTCCAAATATTTTCGATCAAGTACTTAGTAGGGTGTCTTACACCCCTTCTCTCCCTCCTATCCCACGGAATTCTAACAGTGACACAGCGACACAACCACGCTGGGCTCCAGCGTCTCCACCAAGGTGGATCTTCCCTTCAGCAGATCTAGTGGCTATTTGCTGGTACTAAGGCAGCCAACGCTGCGACTTTACACTGCTCATGGTGACTTACGGGGCATTTATGCCAGACACCCAGATAAATCTTCTTCCTTACTGAAACTCTGTGCCACGTCAAGTGTACAGGACAGTCAGCAGTTGTGAGCAGGCTGTCTGAAGCACCATGGAGATACGGTCTTTGGATGGACACTGGTCAGAGTATAAAAAGAATGAAGAGTTGTGGGGGTTTTTTTCCTCCAAGTGCATTTTTTTGACCACACACAAGCCCCTAACAGTATCTGGGCCAGCTGGGCTGCTGTCTTACATGCAAGAAGCAAAGAGCTGTTGGAGTCGAGCCCCCAGGACAGCGTAAGTCCCTTCAGCAGGATTTTATTGATTTATTTCACCGAGTTCCCAGCACCAGTCCCTCTCAGTGCAGATGCACACACGTTCACGCTCTGCCACAGTGAATCAGCACCCACCGAGCTGCATGACTCAGGGCTCGGTGCCCCCAAGGACAGGGGGTTACCTCGCTCAACAAGCACTTAGCTGTATTAGATGGGTGCTCTTCCCAGAATTACGTAAGAGTGACAAGCTCTGCACTCCTGCTGGCAAGACCGATGTTACGGGAAAATTTACTTCTATCCCATCATGTCTTAAAAGGTTTGCTTAACCCACTAGCTGATGTACATGCTTAACTATAGTAGTTTTCACATCTGATGTGCTCACAAAATAAATCACATTTCTGTTTATTCTCTAATTCCATGTGGTTAAGAGAAGTTGTAGTGAGAAGCAAAATGTCATCAGTTCACATAATTTATTATCCAAAGAGGATGTGAGCAATATTCTTATTACTAAATATCCCAGGGATTTTTAATTCTCTGGGCTGGGATACAAGCTTTCTAAATGTTGACATGCACTTTCACTTGAATTCAAAGATGCATACGTCTAAAAGAAGATTAAGATTAGATTAAAGATGAGTACAAGACTGTTCAATACCCTTTGATCCCTGCTAAAAATTAAATCACAAAACTCAAAGTACTGCTATAAAATCATAGCACTTATTTTGAAATTATATGTAATAGCTTTTAAGAAGAAGCTGCACACTAAGTGTGTAGTTCATACAAAGTGTGCCTGCTTTGCATCTGTGCATTTGGCTAGAAGACAATGTACAATTAGAAAGAATTCCAGCTGTAGTCTAATAAAGTTAGAGAAAGCAATTTCACATTATATAAAACCTCTATTTTTCTTTATTGAAAGCTCCCCAAATTAAAATATTCCAGTTGGTCAGAATTCAATTTAACAAACCAGTAGCTTACGTTCGAATGAATTTGTTATTTTTAAAACAAATGCAGCATTCGGGAGAAACTGTGAATATGCTGCCCTAATAACAGCTCTGTATCTATAGCCTCAACATCTACTGTCACCTAGTAAATTAGCTTCGTGTAAAGTACTGTGCAAAGGGAACAATCTCTTTGCTGTTCGTGCAAAAAAAGCACATGATGAGCACAAAAAGAGTTAACTTTTCATAACATTTCTCAACAATTAAGCTAAAGTAAGTCTAACCTTAATTCCTGTACTGTATAGTGTGGTTAAGACAAAACTGGGAAAAAAAAAAACAATGAGAAGATACTTGCCTCATACAATAAACAGCCCAAAGACCAGATATCAGATTTAAAGTTATAGCCGTTTTCATGTATTCTTTCCGGGGACATATAGTATGGAGTTCCCACTGTAAAAAACAAACAAACAAACGAGGAGTTATGGTCTGAAAAAGTGACTGTGCAACCTGTATTATACAGAAGTTTCACTTCATTAAAGGATTAGGCTTAGCACAAATAGCTAATTAGAAGAGATTGGCACAAAAATTTGGAAACAAATCATGGTTTTGAAGGCGTAAAACCAAATGTATCATCACATACAGAGCTAGAAGACTGGTGAACATTACTGAAAATATCTTCTGTATTTTTGAAATTTGAGGAACCTTTTCTTCCCCTTCCAGTCTTCCAAGTACCTTCAGAGTGTCTCAGAGCAATCGCAAAGGACCATCTTCCTTTGGTTCACTCAACAGCACTGAAACTGCACGTTAGATGTCAGGAACGTACTCTGCTAAAACAAGACTCCCGTGACAGCGTATCAGTTGGACATTCACCTGACACACACTGCACCAGCAGCATGACAGAGCGGCTCCAGATATGAGGGGGCACCCTTTCTAAGGGTTCAGGAGACCATTTACTGCAACAGAGAAATGGAAGTAACAAGCCCAGCACCAGACAGGTATTCAAAAACTTTCTGAAAGAACCAAGATAATAATTCCAAACTTTAAAACATTGCTCCAACTTGCAGTCACATCAGAAGCTGTGGGATTTCTATGCACTTCCAGAAGTCTGTATTTTATCAAAAGAAATTTACTCCAGCATTTTGGACAGAAGATACAGGAAATTATTAATAAACCCCTTACCTCAAAAAGGTTCTTTTTTAAATCCTAAATAAGTTTCAGTTGTGGTACTGAAAATACAAGACATCCCGGCAGTCTCAACTACATCAAATAATCCTCAGATACATCATTTATTAAAACATCCAAGGACTTTATATGCTCTCTTTTCTCCTGCTTCCCCTGCTTGCCTGTCCCTTGTCAATTTTTTTTTTTTCTCTTTTGGCATTTGAATGTATCCTTCTCCTAATTAAAGACCTTTCCTCACAAGATGGCAAATGTTTAATTTGCCTGTTACATTCAGTTTACAGTTTCTCCATTTGAAATGCTGACTGCAGACAGCTGGAAGACTAATAAGCAGACGAAGGATGGTGTTAGAGGTGGAGGGGGAAGAAGAGCCACCACCTGCCCCCAAATGTTCCTAAGGAGGGGTTCACGCACTGTAGGAAACAAAGGAGTTCTGGGGCAGAAAGCAACAGCTTCCCAAAAGGCAAAAGCCAACCCCTGCCCAGCACGAAGCTGCTGCCACCGGGGCGATACCTGAGCAAAAGCACTTTGGGGTCCCTCTAGCTTGGACCACGCTGTGCTAAGTATACCTGCGAGTCCCAACCTTAACTGCATTCCTCTGTCGCCCTGAAAACCTGAACACAGGCCAGGATCCCTTTGGTACAGGCACTGTACAAGGCCTGTCCTCACAGGACAAAAAGATGTTTACAGCCCTGAAGAATTCACGACACTCCTATAAACCAAGACACAGGAGCAGTCAGAGGGGGGGCAGCACCTGAGGAGTCAGACAGTACCCGCCCTCAGTACATCAGCATCCTAACAGAAGCTGGAAATCAGAAATACAAAAACCTTCTCTTAGGTTGTTCAGTCAAACAAAGAGCATTGATTTGAAATTAGTCCTGTCAATGCTAGCGTACAATTATCTAATTTACTCCAAAGCATCCCCAACATCCTCCCCGTATGTAGGACTTGCTGGAAGTACGGATGTCACGTGCACCAGATCGACCCAGTTTACCCCATTACTAAAGTCTCTACTGTATCAGCATTCTGAAACCTCAAGTTTTCTGCGGGGTAAACTGGGATCCTGTTGCGCCAGCTACTCCACCTTAAATATTCAAGGCATTTTCTTTCTCTGGGGTGAAAACCAGGCAGCTTACCTCAAAACAACAACAAGCACCCTCCCCCGGAAACCAACACCCTTCAATCTTTAGTCTACATTTTTGCCACACATTTATATGCCCAAATTTTGAGTCTACTGAACCTCAACAATTTTTACTCAGAGCTACTCAAAAATGTAGCATATAGTGTGAAATTAATCCTATGGCACTGGTGTGAAACATAAGATGTTACAGAAATACATATATAAAACTGTGCTTACCAAAATAGAACAAGTAACTAAGAAATGGGACCACTGCCCTGACTGGCTCATTTGTTTGGTCCCCCAGGACTTTCAGTAATCAGCTGCTCTATATGATAAACTCAGCTTGTGCTTGCAGGTCATTCAAATAAGAAATCACTTCACTTTCGGTGTGAAGAGTACCCTAATGAGAAGTTACATTTTTTGCAAATTCTATACAAACTACAACACAGGAAAAATAACATATGGAGATGATTACACTTCTTTGCTCAGTGATAGCATATCCAGCCTAGGAGCATGCCAAAGTGACACTGTCCCAGATCTGGCTGGTTTTAATTGCTGGTGAAAGGCCTCTATGTATGGATGAGAACAGAGTTCTGTTAATAGTTGATAATTTTTAACAGACCGTACAAAGCAACTTCACAGAACACCAAGAGCAGCCAGGACTCATTCAAAGGGCCCAACAAGGCTTTCCATGGATCTCTCCCATGTGCACGCAAGATGCACACAATGGACAGCAGAGCTCTCCAAGTAATTCCCACACATTTGCCAGATTTCTGTACAAGAACTGACTTGGTTGGAATAGCACTGATTCATTTTACTGCTTAAAAACATGCAGCTGCAGAAGAAATGGTGATTCATTATGCAAGTTCTTGAAGACTGTTTTGGAAGTCCCCACTGAGCACCAGTGTGCAAGACACTTCCCTACCTTCAACTTCTCAGGGCTGCTGCTTTCCTCCAACCTGCCAGGCGAGCTAACCGAGCGGCCAAGGCGGGCGACGCGTCGTGGGGAGCGAGCGCAGGCGCCGGGCAGCAGCACGCAGCTGGCAGGAGGGAACACAAGGATCATCCCCCACTCCTGCTCCCCGAAGTCCTCGTGCTTCAGAGGGCCAGTGCCAGGGGTGGGCTCCGGCCGTAGCTGCTCTTGTGCTCAGTTATTCTGGGTCACTGAGGGACAAGCTCAGAGCAAGTAATAACGTGTGGGCTCTAAAGTTATGGCCTTGCCTTCCACGTTAGCAGGGGTCTGCTTGGTAGGCTAAAACTGTCTTTTCAGATAATGCCTTAAAACGACCTTCGATCAAAGCAGAACGACAGGGTTTATAATACGGATGAGTGCGTTATAGCCCGTGTTTGATTTTCTGTGCATTAGGCTGTTCCATCACATTAACAGGCCCGTGGAACAGTCCACGCCTGAGCTGATTTTATGAAGTCTACCTTGCACATTTACCTATCATTACTGTAGTGTTGTCAGCAAATCTACGAACAAGCAGGTCTCTGCGTTTCAAAACTGAGGCATTAATTTTTAAATAACTGTCATGATAAAAGACTGACAAGCCCAATTCTCTTTATGGCCTGTCCAACATTACATGGGAATCTCCTGTAATGAGCACCTTCTAGAAAAGCGCACAAGGCTTCCAGTGCAATCAGTCAGGGCTCACCATTGCATTACATTAGTCAATTTGACAAGAATAGTCTAATCGGAGACTATTAATCAGAAACTTTCTTTGGCATCTGCCCTGCTGAAAATACAAAATATTGTTCAGATTCGATATTAATCACCAGGTGGTAGAGTAATGCCTTTAAAGTTATAAAGGTCGCAAAACTGGAGGGAAGATTATGACTAAGTAAGCATCTTCCCATTCTATTCCTGAAAGTTGAAACACTTCACTTGAATATCAGCCTACTTCAGCGATACCAGAACAACATTTCTTCCTACTCTCCCCAGCACTGTCTGCATGCACAGCTACACCACCCACGCGGACCAGAGCAGCTCTGGGATATCTGCAACACCCAAGTTAGGGAAATGCTAATTATTCCCAGTTAGATTAGGAGCAGAGTCTCTTGTTTCACCAGGAGAACACACAGGCAAGGCAGCAAAGTTATTTCAGAAATAAAATTCAAATTCCCTTCCTCTCCTATATAGTCTGAATTAAAAATCCTACCTGTGTAACTACAGCAACCAGTGCGCACAGGTACTCTGAGCTGAATTCCCACATCTGCCACAGAAACACCCAGGTGAAGAGCTACGTTCCTTCTGAACTCAGCAAGTCTTTCACTACACAGGAGAGATCACGCTCACCCGTTTTGAAAACATTTTTCAGCTTGAACCAGAGGAGTTTTGTTGTTGTGGAAGTGACAGTGGCCGGGTTATTAGTACAGTCACACACAGGATTGTTATCTCCTACACAGAGCTTCTCCCTGTGCTACTGCAGTTCAGCCAGGGATCAATGCTTCCTGTGAAATTCATCCTTAGCTGCTCAGAGGCAGAAACACGAGAAAATCTGATTCATACTTTTAGGAGGCTCTATCGGGGTCTCATTCACCAAATTTAATGTACCACAGACAAGTCTCTTGCAGCAGCAGTTCTCCCACACCTTTAGGCAGATTAGACTGAAATCAGTGCACAGTATTTCCAAATATTTTAATAGGCTCTGTATGTTGGGTGTTTTTAAACGCTATAAAAAAATCAGCATCTCTTGAAACGAATCAAACTCCATAGCCATATTTGACTGCGAGTACGAGAACAAGTGATAAGGAAAGCTTTTATTCCACCTTCACCAACACCTTCCAGCTAATCTTTAATACTGAGCTGAGCAGCGTTTCTGAATCTATCACTTTTCTTTCTCACAGCAGGGAACAGAGTTCTGAATATGAAAGAACCTAACAAATTCTGACCTTTATTGTATCTTTACAGAGCATTCCCAGTTTCAAACCAAGAGATATCAGAGCGCAGTGCGGGCCTCAAAGGGGTAATACTGATTAAAGCTTTCCGTCGTTCTAGAGATATTCCACTCCTGTCAAAACAAACTTTGCGATGTTTTGAAATACTTGTGATTTTTGAAACATGCTCATTACAAATGTAAAAGGCAAAGAACTATGCTCAAAAACCCGAGATGCCATCCATGAATAACAAAAAAAATCACCCAGTTTCTAA